GCCCTCATATGTGGGATCCGAACCGGGGCCCTCTGGCGTCCCAAGCCAGTTCTTAACCATCGCGCTACTCGGACGGCCCCTACTTATTACTGTTTTAAATGGCACATGCTATCGAGTTATATTGATGTTAAGTAAATTGACCATTTATTTCCCATCAGCCCACTACTTAGCCTAAAACCTATATTCCTACTACTTCGATATAGGAACCACCTAATAAAATAGGAATAGGGAGACCAGAGAAAGAAAGAGAAAGTCATTTGCAGTAAGTCTGGCCTTTGTCACTGGCACCCCTAAAAGATCCAGGGGCCCTTGACATGGGCAGAATTGGTGGTTAAAGAAGTTGGTGGTGATTCATGGATGCCCTCCTGGGCTCAGCTGAGCATATCATGTTCTCCCAGGAGCCAGTGTCTTTGCTTGGTCCATTCTTTCTGTCTGCAGTGCTCTTTCCACTCTTATTACCAGGTTATCTCCTATTCCTAATTAGCAATTCGCTTTAGAGATGTTCTTTATTTAGCTTATTATGTGTCAAACATAGAGATTTGTGGGTTTACAGATACGGGAACTAAATGAAACTTTCTAGACTAATTTTCTCTTTTCTAAGCTAGTGTGTTTTACACTGACTTTCTTACTGAATTTTTCTGTGAGCAGCAATGCAATATACCAACCCAATGTATCTAATCTTTCAGATTGTTAAACGTTTAAATTTTTAAACCATAATTAAAGCTAATGATGTTTAGTCTTCATTTTCTTTTTTAAAATTCAATTAGTTATTTATTATTCACTGAATTATTCAATTAAATAATTTCTCCATGAAGCAGGGGATACATTTTTTTTTAAAGATTTTATTGGGGAATCGGGGAAGGGGAACAGTGTTGGGGAATTGAGGAAGGGGAACAGCCAAGTTGTTGTCCTTGTCTTAAAAATTGTGGAGGGCACAGCTAGCTCAGCTCCAAGTCCAGTCGCCATCTGGCTGCCCGTCGGCAGTTAGCAGCCACTCAGCTCAAGGTGCCATATTCAATCTTAGTTGCGGGTGTGCGTAGCCCACCATCCCATGGGGAGTTGAACTGGAAACCTTGTTGCTAAGAGTGCGCACTCTAACTACTGAGCCATCTGGCCGCCCGTCGGCAGCTCAGGTTAGCTCAGCTCAAGGTGCCGTATTCAATCTTAGTTGCAAGTGGGCATAGCCCACCATCCCATGTGGGAGTCAAACCAGAAACTTTGTTTTTAGGAGCACATGCTGTATCCGCTGAGCCATCCTGCCACCTGTTAGCAGCTTAGCAGCAGCTCAGCTTGGGCGCAGCTCACTGGTCCATGTGGGAATCCAACCAGCAACCCTGTTGCTCAGAGCTTGTGCTCTTAACGAACTGAGCCACTTGGCTGGCCCAGGAGATACATTATTTTAATCATCAAATGTACTATTTGTAAGGTAGCACCTATTAAATTATTTACTAAGCATTTGGGGGGCTACAGTTGTAAGCATGCTTAGATCTAGAACATCCTAAGTTGCCAGGCAGTAAGAAGAACAGTAAGTTTCATTTGCTGGGCCCAAACTTGGCTTGGCGCTCTCTGGACATTCCATCTAGCTGTCTAGTCTTCATTTTATTTGCGGACCACAAAGAACTCCACTGGCATTCTAAAAAATATTTTAAGGGCTGGCCGAGTGGCACGTTGGTTAGGAGTTGGCTTGGGATGCCAGCTCTGAGCAGCAGGGTCCCCATTCGGATCCCACATGAGGGCCAGTGATGCTGTGCCCTCTACAGCTAAGATAGTGAACAACAGCTCGACCTGGAGCTGAGCTGCCATGAGCCACCCTGAAGCAGCCGTCCAGTGGCCGGTGAGCGACTGCTTCCCCCGGAAAGAGCGCAATGATAATATCAACATGGGCCACTGAAGCAATGTCCTCCACAACTAGATTGAAGAACAAAAGGACAGCAACTTGTCTGTTCCCCTTCTCTGATTCCCCAATAAAATCTTAAAAATATATGTATATATATATATATATATATTTAAAACAATATGATTAAATTTATATCATAATTTTTACTACTATTGTAAAATTGCTGTTTCATTGTACATATATCCTTGAACATAATGCTGAACAATTTTCCAGGTTTTGTTTCCTTGTATTGTTTTGAATCAATGTTTTTGTTATATACCCAAAGAACATTTACTAACGACCTGTGACATCGTACTAAGTACAGGGTCTACACTGGAGACTTTGTACCCCAAATGTGGCTATACAGGGTTTTAATCGTTCCGAATCCTTGGTGAGGGCAGGGAGCAGAGATAATAGAGGCATGAGGAACTCAGAATCACTTCTTGGAAATAGGCTTGTCCAGTTACTGGGAAATCCCTTCACTAGAAAGCTAAAGGCAGCCCTTGGAGACATTTTTCTCTATCTTAATTTCTGCGGTTATTTTTTTGTCACCCATTCGGCACACGTAGCAGCACTTTCTGAAAAGGATTAGGTGTGCCAGCATGACTCAGCATCGCTGTACCTCCAGTTTCCACCAGGGCACATGGTGCCCACTGTTGGCGCCATGCTTCTCTTCTTGCTGATGGTCCCCGGATTGTACTTGAGTCATAACACAGCCTGTAATAGTGAGCCTGTAAGGGTGACGGTGTACTTTTCACGATTTAACAATTTAGTTGTTTTTTTTTTCCCATTTTCCTTTCTCTCTTACCTGACTCAATCACTGTGTTTTCTTGAGGCTACATGCATACCTCTTTAATCTGGTTAATCGCTATATGCTGATGTGAGAGAAACTGAGTCAGCCCTCAGCCACCACGGACACCAGCAACCAGGCTGCAATTCTGGACTGCAATTTTCTGTCAGATGACATATGAATCACCGCTAAGACCGAGTTCGAAATAACCATTGCAGAACAAACTGGACCCCAGGAGACCTCACAGATGTCAGAACCAAGGAGTCACATGACTAACTCCCGCTTTGTTCTGCTGCTTCTTGTGTACCTGTAAAACCTCCTGACTGTTTAGGAACGGGGAAGGTGGTCTTCAAGACAATGGTCTGCCATCTTCCAGAATACTGACATTTTGAATAAACCTAGTTTTCTCTCCACCAACCCTTGTCTCTTGATCTTTGGCTTACCAGTGACAAGCAGCCTGACCCGAGTTCGGTAACAAGTCCAGGGGATACATTATGGCTGGTCTAAGCCAATGTTTTGTTTTTTTTTTTAAAGATTTTAATTGGGGAATTGGGGGAGGGAACGGCGTTGGGGAATCAGGGAAGGAGAACAGACAAGTTGCTGTCCTTTTGTTCTTCAGTCTAGTTGTGGAGGACATCGCTTCACTGGCCCATGTTGGTATTGTGATCATTGCGCTCTTTCTGGCTGAGGCAGATCAGTCGCCAGCCATTGGACCACCACTCACGGTGGCTCACAGAAGTTCATGCTGGCTGCTGGCCACTCACGGTAGCTCACAGCAGCCCACTGCAGAACCACTACAGCCTACGCTGTTGCCTCACGGCAGCCCAGCTCCAGGTCGAGCTGTTGTTCA